TCTGGCCTGTGTCAGCTTTTAAAAAACATTTTCCCAGAATTCCCACGATACTTCTGCCTACAACTATTTGACCAAAACTTAGTCATATAGTTGTACTTGTAAAAGAAAGGCTGGGAAAGGCACATTGCCCCTTTCCAAAAAATAGGGGTTCTATTATTAAGGAACAAGAGGAGAATAAATTTTGGGCCAGTAACCTCTAGTGTCTATCAAAGATGAAGAGACCCATATGTTTTAAGAATAGTGGGAGAAAGCATATTTCTTTAGAAATAAATATTCTTACCTGGTCTGCTTTATTTATTTACTTAACCTTTCCAGATCATATAGTAGTTTGCCTTTGTAACCTCACTCCAGAGTGACTGATGTTGAGCCACACACATGATAAATGTCCCTGTTGCTGGAGTCTGCATTAATTGGGATTGCCTGAGAACTGGTCTGATTCTTCTGTCAGTGCTACTGCAGGTGGGATGTTTCATTGGGCCATGGCCTCTGAGGTGTCTTTATTTCCACAGGCAATCTTGCTGCCAATGATCTCTCCACTTCCCGAACAGGCAGACTACAGAAGGTCCTTCACAGCTATGTGCCTCAAGAGATTAAGGATGGGAATCAAGTTCGAGTCACCTCATGGGATGGCAGGAAGTGGGGAGAACTGGAGGGGGACACTTATGACCGGGTGAGTGATTCTTGACTTAGGACATCCATCCAGCTAAATACAGCCTCTCCATCCTGGTCCCAGGCCCTGGGGGGGTAGGATCCATCCCCTGTGTTCGAGCATGCAAGGCTGTTTCTGGGCCTGGTGAGCTCTCCTTGGGTGATTTGGTAAAAAAAAAAAAAAGCCACCTACAGAATTATCAGTTCATCTTAGATGACTGGTTTACTATATTCGTTAAAGATAGTTGGCTGCAAAAAAAGAATTTGAACCTGAGTGGGGAAAAAAACGTTATTAGGCTTTTTTATTTCTCAAGTCACTTGGTTGCTCAGAAACCCTCAAGAAGGTAAATATGAATAAACTCATTTATTTATTTTTGAATATATGGTACCATATGCACATGGTACAAAATTCAGAAAGCACAAAAGGGCATCCAGTGAAAAGTGAGTTTCCCTCTTACTTCTGTCCCATAGCCATCTACTTCCCCACCCTACTAATAACCCCTGTTTCTGTTTTTTTCTGTATCTTTCAAAATATATTAATTTGCATATGTAAATATGTATTTTTAAAAAAATAGAAATGGTGGTATATTATATTCACCATTTTGAACTTTGTGGTTTTTTTTTTCATTTAATAATGTATCCTAGGGTTTAGTCCTTTTTAGTTTTATGTTTTTGAAGTATAATTGCTGGATAACAGTTTATATCCATTTAAGATTTTGATAAAAATTGCTAAATTGCTCTGTGGAGGTTAAATCAGTTTCACTCCTACTGGTAATAAATGAGTACCATTTTATCACATCCTGCCAACATTGGTGCCATCAAACTTCATTTTTTTCCCAAAATGATGGTATCTAATTTATGTTCTCTTATTGTGAATAATGTTGAAAATCTTTTTGTGTTTTTAAATTATTTATTTTCTTTTATTTGGTATACTCAGAATATTTATTTAAAACATATACTTGTAAAAATATAAAGAATATATAGCTGTTGTCTCTGTGTTGTCATCTGACTCATCTAATCTGTCTAGTTCTCACCATTCTGCCTCAACCACTCTTAAGAAATTAAAAGAAAGATCAAGGCTTATACGGAATCTTAGATGGGCTTGAGAGACTTGTTTCCTGTCTGTATAGGAATCCTCTATTCAGCTTTCTTTTTTTTTATTTTGAAAAATTCTTTATGTTAATTACAGCAATTAAGGGTCATCAAGCTTGGAATCCCAGAACTGTTCAGAAAGGCTGCCAGGTAATTGAGCTTTACCTCTTGTCTACTCCTCCTGCAGCTAGCTAGCTGAAGGGAGAGGCCAGCTCCTTCAGAGCTGGGAGACCACGCGCAGCCAGTGTCCGTGCTGCAGTTTGGGCTCCAGGGTCCTAAAGAAAGAAAACATCTGAAAGGATCATTTAACTGTGTCACCTGATTGGGAAAAAACAGTTTTCCTCCCAGCTCTATCTGTGGAAGTGAAACCTCATTCAAATTTGCCAAAGGCTGGAGAGGAAAAGAACAGATAGTATCTCTCAGGCTCACTGTACTTTTCCTTTGAACATTTAGCCTTCCACGTAAACAAATTGATAAGGAGCACGAAGTTCTGTATATAAATGATAAAAATGATCTCATGGATCAGTGGTTAGGAAGTTTTCTGCTTCCCCCTTTTACCTGGGAAGAAATGTAACCTTCCAAAAGTTAGTTATTCCATTTTGAAAACCTGAGGGTGATGGGGTGGTAGTAATCTGCTTCCAGGTGCAACCGTCACTGTTTTGAGGACCCTCGTGTTCCAGAGGGGTTCTGTGGGCAGCCTTAAGCCAGATCCATCTCACCTCTTTTCCAGGACAGTTGCTGGCCCTGGCCCATAGCAGGTTCATCCTTGCGTGCTGAGTGAGGTGTGACGAGCTCAGGCCTGGGGTGTGCCAGATCTGGGCTCCCATTTTGGCTCTGTCATTTCTGGCTGCTGTGAGCCTCTCATCTAGAAGGGATCACTGCTTTACTTTCACTTCATAAGTCACCCAGCAAGCCCTGTGGCATCCTGTCCAAACACCTCTGAAGTCTTTGCTGAGCACTCTGTGCTCCTCTCCCTACCTGTGTTGGCTCCTCAGTACCTGTCAGTGTAAATCCAGATGGCTGGCACACTGTTCTAGCCTTCTCTGCATGATCTAGACCCTGGCTCCCTCTCTAGTCTTATTTCTCACTGTACCGCACCCCCGTCTCCATCCCCTGGATGGCTGCTCCCTGCTAAGCTCCGTACAGTGATGGGAAGATGTTTTATTATTTTACACTCTGTGCTTCTGTGTATG